TTCTAAGGATAGAGCAATCTGTCTTCCTCAATCATCACCCACAAGAAAACACTAAATTTTCTCCATCAAAACCCTACTCATCCCTAACGATCATGGAAAATCGATCTACCTCTCAGGAATCACAACAAATACGTACATGCCATCAAGTACCCCACAGATTAAAAAGAATGCTATTGAAAAACGGAACCAATCAAGACAACCCATAAAATTCCACACTAAACTAGAGAAGCAGAGAAGAAATGCAACCTGAGCAGGGAAACGGAGAGCCATGGAGAAAAGAGAGGTCGGACCAACGCCAGCAGCATAGAAAGCGGCAGTAGCAGTGGGATTAAAGCTAGCCCCACCCATGGCAGCGCCAATTATATTAAAAACGAAAACAAGAACGAAGACGAGAGCAGTAGTGATAAAAAGCGGGTGAAGCGGAATGCCATAAACACCGGCAACCGAGTACAGGACGGAGGTAAGAACTCCAAGAGACGAAGCGCAGAAAATCCACATGGAAGTGAGAACGGCATCGCCGATCGCAGCCTTGATAGCATCGATCATGATTATCACCGGAAAATACTTGAACAAAAGGGAAATCGGAGGTGCAGCCGGAAATAGGTCAGCAACTGTGAGGGGAGATTTCGATTTCTTCAGGGCTCTCGTCTGGTTCTTCAGAATCTGGGTTCGCTTCAGATGGAAACGAAATCAACAGCGCTTAAATAAGAAAAATGATCTGGAAAAAGAAAAAAAAAGGAAAAATTGGGGGGAAGATAAGAATCACAACTGTTGTTGACGATTCATGGATACCGAGCCATTCACCTAACTCCGGATTTTCTCGGAAATTTTTCGCCAAATGGATGATTTCGGTTGCTTCAATGTTCAAATATTGTCTTTTGATTTATCACATTTTTAAAATTATGTCTTTTAATTTTTTTTTTCATACTAAAATTAATCAAAATATTCTTAAATTTTCTATTTCATCTCAAAAATATTATTTTTAGGATTTATTTGTTAGTTTGGATAGAAATCATTAATATTTTATTTTTAAAAAAAATTATTTTTTTTTTAATAGTATTTCAAATTAAGGTGTTTGAAAAATATTTTGTTATTTTTATTTTATATTAAATTACAAGTTCATTTTTTTATTTATTCATTAAATTGTTTTAAAATGTCTAATATATTTAAATATCTCAATTTTTTTTTAATTTTATGATTAATATATTCTTGAAAGATTTAAAATCTAATTATTTTAATTTTAAAAATTCAATGATGGTATAGATACAAATTTCAAAATTTACGGACTAAAATTATAATTTAACTTTTTTTTAATTTTTATTATATAAAATATCCTTTATATTTTTAAATTATTTATATAAAAAATTTAATTTTTTTTTTAAGGACTCCATTTGTAATTTAATATTTATTATTATTATTATTATTATTATTATTATTATTTAATGAAATCTTTGGATGGGAATCAAAATGTTAAGACTAAAAAAAAGCATAAATAATATTATAAGTTTCATAAATTTAGTATTTTTTTTTTAGAAAATAAATAAATAATTGAGTTTGGTATTATAATAAATAAATATTATAATTAAAATCTCATTTAATTTGGTATTATACAACCAAATATATATCTATATAATTTTAATAAATTTTATAATTAATCCTTAATATTAATTTGATAATTAGTTAAATACTAAAAATATTAATTATATTTTTCAAATTTATAAAGCGGAGATTAATGTAAGGGCATATATGCCTTTTCACAAAAGTATTAACACTTTCATGCCATTTGAATGTAAGGGCATAAGCGTCATTTCACAAACTTTTCTAGCATTAGTCAACTTAATAAAAAGCTAATTATATACTTTTTAATTTTTTGATATTTTATGTTGCCGTTTTTTTTTCTAATTAATTTATTTAGAGTAATAGAAATATATATATATATATATATATGTGTCTGCTTAATGGGCCCAAATGAATTGAATCCGGCCCAATAATAATTACTAACCCAACGGCTATATCAAAATATAGCCGTTACAAATTCAAACACAACGACTATATTTTCTTTTTCTGCAACTAGTTTTAAACTAAGCTTCAGCCATTCCAAACTCACAATCTTCCTTTTTCTCTCTAAAGCTCAGAAAAATCTCAAACTTTCCTTATTCTTTGAAAATTCCCCAAAATGAACGACTTGATGACCAAATCGTTCACGAGCTATGTCGATTTGAAGAAGGCCGCCATGAAAGATATCGACCTCGAAGCCGGTTTAGAAATGGCATCGTCCGCTCCCGGCGACAATGGCGACATGGGTCTCTTTCTCGAAGAGGCCGAGAAGGTGAAAACCGAGATGGGTTCGATTAGAGAGATTTTATTGAAGCTTCAACAAGCCAATGAAGAGACCAAATCGGCTCATAAACCTGAAACCCTCAAATCGCTTCGGAATACGATCAATATCGACATTGTAACAGTTCTGAAAAAGGCTCGATCCATCCGATCCCACCTCGAGGAAATGGACCGTGCCAATGCTGCAAAGAAACGTCTCTCGGGTAGTAAAGAGGGCACTGCCATTTACAGGTACGATCGAATTACCATACTTAATTACACGTTTAAGTTAATGGGTTATAGTAAATTTAGTTTTTTTTACAGAACACGAATTGCGGTGACGAACGGATTACGAAAGAAGCTAAAGGAGCTGATGATGGAGTTTCAGAGCTTGAGGCAGAGGATGATGACGGAGTATAAGGAGACGGTAGGACGGCGATACTTTACAGTGACGGGGGAGAAGGCGAATGAGGAGGTGATAGAGAAGATAATATCGGATGGCGTGGAGGAGTTTTTGGGGAGGGTGATAAAGGAGCACGGGCAAGGGGGGAAGGTGGTGGTGGCGGAGACGGTGGAGGAGATACAGGACCGACACGGGGCGGCGAAGGAGATAGAGAAGAGCTTGTTGGAGCTGCACCAAGTGTTCTTGGACATGGCGGTGATGGTGGAGGCACAAGGGGAGAAGATGGATAACATAGAACATCATGTGATGAATGCTTCGCAGTATGTTAGGGATGGAACAAAGGAATTGAAGAGTGCTAAGGAATTGCAAAGGAGTAGTAGGAAATGTATGTGTTTGGGGATTTTGCTATTGCTTTTGATTATTTTGGTTGTTGTTGTTCCTATTGGTGTTAGTTTTGGAAGTTCTTGAAATTGTATTAAGAGAACGGATTGATTTCTGATTTGGCTCGATCTTACCTCTACTTGTGACTTGTCATGAAGTGTCTCGGCGATCATAGCTCGCTCGATCATGCCATCGAGAACGGACCCATGTATCGTTCATAATTTCGGGACATCCCGTGTATCCATTCATCTTAATTCTATCGAGGTATTGGACTCTCTTGTGTCCATGGACTCAGTACCAGATAGTGAGTGTATGATCCTCCAACCTTTGACATATGGGTTGGAGCACAATAATGGCACACTCGTGTCTCCCGTACTGTCCTTGGAAAATCTCTTTAAAAAGGAAATTGCCCAAGACACTCGTCTTGCAATACTCGTCCTCACTGTGACACACATATGTATGCACAGGGTAGCTTTGTTTAGGTCACAGGCCCAGGGATGGTGGAGAGAGCTAACATCATGCACATCTCCCTCTCTAGGGCACAGTTTGAGGTATTGGACTCTCCTATGTCCATGGTCATGTTGTTTATGGACTCCGTACCCAACCCAGATAGTGAGTGTATGATCCTCCAACCCATGACATTGGGTTGGAGTACAATAATGGCACACTCTGCACGTAATGTCCTTTGAAAATCTCTTTCAAAAGAAATCGCCCAAAACAATCGTCTTACAATGCTTGCCTTCACTAAGACACACGTATTGTGTGCACATAGTAGCTTGCTTGGGCCACCTCAAAATGGTGGAGAGCTAACATCATGCCTCTCACTCCTTAGGGTACATTTTGAAGCATTTTCAATCTTTTTTCAGGTAGATATTATTTTGGTGAATGATCATACGGTGTTATGGAGAGTTCGTTTAGTTTCCTTTTTTTTTTCAACGGTTAGTTTTTTTTTTTTTTCCTTCCTTCCTCCTAGTTAGGATGCTTCCAGTATCGATCGACGAAGTTAAACTTATAATAGAAGTTGATGTGCTACTTGTCGGTACGCTTCTTTGCAACGATACCAATCCTTCAGCTCGATATTTTTCTTTACAACAATTCCCTTGTTATGACTGATGTGAAATGTTGTGGTAGGTTTTGACTGTAGTCGTTCGAGTCAACTCACCAGTTTCGTAAGTGTGAAATGTTGTGGTAGGTTTTGACTGTAGTTGTTCGAGTCAACTCACTAGTTTCTCGAGTCTACATCTAACTTTTCAAGTAACTATTTTGATGATCTCTCTCATTACCTGCTTTTATTAAGACATTGATTTTCTTTCTATTTGTGATATGGTCCTGTCATTTGTGCGTCTATTTGTGATATAGTCCTGTCATTTGTGTGTTATTACGGTAGATATCACTATTAGGTTTGGGTCTGACTCTTTCTTTTTAGTAGGAGTAGAGTTATCAAACAAGAACTTTTTTGGATAACGATCCCACCAAGAGATCTCTAATATTTGAACATCCAATTCTCTCTTTTATAAATATGCTTCCCTCGAGAGTTAAGTGGTGAATGTGAACACTCGTAAACGTGTAATTTTAACCAAACAAAAAAAAAAAAGTTTTATTTTTTAAAAAATTATTAATTAAACACAAAATTGAAAAAGTTTAAGATTTATTCAAACAACTTAAACAAATTTTAAAATTTGAATAAATAAATCAAATAATTTTGAAATTTCAACAAAATCCATTATAATAATTTTTATTAAAATCCCATAATTTTCGTCGAGGAAAAAAAATGTATTAAACCGTAAAAATTGGAACAGTATTTAAATCAATATCCAAATTTAAGAAATAAATTTGTAATTTTGAAGCTTTTTAGATCCAAAATTATAAATTTTAAAAGTTTTAGGGACTAATTTGGTAATTCAGCCTAAAAAATGCTCATATATTAAAAAAAAGGCAAAATATCTACATCCAGTTGAAATTACCAAAATACCCCTCTCAAGAAAATCCTCAAGAATCAGTTTCATCTCCTTCACATATCTCCAAAAGCATGAAGCAGAGCCTCCCATGGTCGCCGCCGTGAACTCGAAAACTCCATAGCTGAATCAAGTCTCCTTCCTTCAACTCATTTCTCTCCACCAGTCCATTCCACTCCGTGATGAACACATACGCCGCCCCACTCGGCGTCTCCCATTTACTCAGCGTCATCAAACTCACAGAACAATCCGGCTCGATGACCTCCACCATCCACCATCTCTCCATGTTCAACTTCTCCTCCTCCTCCAGATCCAGAAAATTATTTCTCATCTTCCTCTGCGGAATCACAAGCCGATTCCGCCGTTCGTCCACATCTCCCTTCTTCAATCGCTTCTGCAGCAAAAAACTAGGGCTCGAATTCGACGACGCTCCCATGAAAATCATCAAACTCTTGTAATCCTGATGTAAACCGTCCGCTAATATCCTATCAAATTCGTATACATCCTGCTTAAAACCGATCAATAAATCACCTAGATCGTCTTTCACATCACTATCGCTTTCGGTTTCAGTGTCGAATATGATGTCCGGTTGTTCCGCTGATGCTTCGAGGACTGGAGAAGCGATCGATTGGACGATTGGGCGTTTAAGAGATCTTTCTTTTAAAAGTTTGAGCCGCTTTGGAGTTCGTTTGTTTGGACTCCTCTTTCGCTTAATTAGTGAAAGACGTTCGTCGTCCTCGACGCTTTCTTGATCTTGATCTTGATCTTGAACGCCGTCGCTGATGAGATTTGGACTGTGTGAATTCATGTTTTCGCCGGCGGAGATGAAGACGAGACCCATGGGGTTCTTGAGATTTATTCTTCTCGAGGTATTTGGGGTTTTAGAGAGGATTGTAGACGCTGGATTTTCTAACCCCTCCGTTAATAAATTTTGGATTTAAATACTTTTTTCCTTTTTTAATTCAAAAATTTAAATTATAAATATATATTTTTTTTGACAAATACAAAATATTAGTTATTTTTATTAATTTAACCATATATTTATATTTAACAAAATATTTAATTTTTAAAATCTTTAATGGGTTAAATTTTATTTAAGTATTTTTATTAATTTAAAGCGAGTTATTAAAATATAAACTAAATTAAATGGAATATTAAAAATATTATGATCACATACAAATATTAAAATTATGATACTCTGAAACAAATGAAATATGTATAATAAATCGAGACGTTAAAAAAAATTAAAAGTTAATATATATGTTAGAGGATGAAACTCTTGATTAATTTAGGGAATGATCATTGATTTATAATCAAACAATACATATCTCCATTCGTATGAAGTCTCTTGGGAAGGATGAGACATTTTGGGAAACCCAAAGCAAAACCATGAGAACTTATACTCAAAGTATACAATATTATTACCATTGTGGAGAGTCGTGTTCGTCTAACATGATATCAGAGTCATGCCCTAAATTTAATTGTGTCAATAGATTGGTAAATCCTCAAATGTCAGGAAAAGGAGTCGAGCCTCAATTAAGGAGAGACGTACTTTGTTCGAGGGGAGGTATTGGATGATGAAAGTCCCTCGTGGTTAATTTAGGGAATGGTCGTGAGTTTATAATCAAAGAATACGTATATCCATTGGTATAAGGCCTTTTGGGAAGCTCAAAGCAAAACCATGAGAGCTTATACTCAAAGTATACAATATTATTACCATTGTGGAGAGTCGTGTTCGTCTAACATGATATCAGAGTCATGCCCTAAATTTAATTGTGTCAATAGATTGGTAAATCCTCAAATGTCAGGAAAAGGAGTCGAGCCTCAATTAAGGAGAGACGTACTTTGTTCGAGGGGAGGTATTGGATGATGAAAGTCCCTCGTTGGTTAATTTAGGGAATGGTCGTGAGTTTATAATCAAAGAATACGTATATCCATTGGTATAAAGCCTTTTGGGAAGCTCAAAGTAAAACCATGAGAGCTTATACTCAAAGTATACAATATTATTACCATTGTGGAGAGTCGTGTTCGTCTAACAATATACGCCTACTAATTCTAAAATTTAACTACTCGATAGAATAAAACATGTTGAAAGTCGTCTAACAATATACGCCTACTAATTCTAAAATTTAACTACTCGATAGAATAAAACATGTTGAAAGGACTCGTATGTAGTTAGGAGCGTGACAATGTTGAGTTTTTATCATATTCATACAAAAATACGACGTCGTTTTCTGTTTCAAAATTTTTCACAAAGTCAGAACCAATTTGGGGACTCTCCGGGATCAAGCCCTAGATCCGAGACCTTATCTCAAACCTTAATCATGGCGATTGCTCGAACAGGAGTCTACGTCGATGACTATTTGGAATGTATGTAGTATGTTTCCTTTTCGCTTCCACTTTTCCCCCCATCCTGTCTTCTCTAATCTGCTTCTGCTTTTGTTTCGTTTCAATATTTGTAGATGCCAGCACATTGCCTGCTGAGCTTCAGAGGCTACTCAACACAATTAGAGAACTCGACGATCGATCTCAGTGTAAAAACCTCGTTTTCTGATTTGATCCAATCTTTAGATCGTCTGTACTCGGATTCGTTAGTCTGAAGTTTTCCTTTTGTTTTGCGTTTTTGTGTTATATTTGGTTGTAGCGATGATTGATCAGACGAGGCAGCAGACGAAATACTGTCTTGGATTGTCGACACAGAGTTGGAAGAAAGGAATTAATAATAGTAATGCTGAGGACGAGGAGACCGCCTTTGAAAAATTGCGGAAGGATATTGAGGCGAATCAGGATAACGCATTGAGTTTGTGCACTGAGAAGGTTTTGTTGGCACGTCAAGCTGGCGACCTGGTATGGCATACTTAATTTATTTCATTATCTCTCAATTATCGCTGATTTCAGACTGCCTGGTTCAATTGCTGTTCGTTTCTCCATTTTTGGTCTGGACCGCAATTTTCAATTTCCTCTGTTAATTCTCCTTGTTTCTTTCAATTATCTTATCTTCATGCAACCTCGAATTGCAAGATTTCCTGTTGAGAAGATATGGACGTGGAGATGGTGAAATTATTTTACGTTGAATCATTGATATTTTCGAAGTGCTGTACTGAAACATTTGTTCACCACGTAGCTACATGCCATTGGTATTTTAGAATGTATTTTTTAGTATGTATTTTCTAGGCTTATCTTACAGGGCTTCATGTGTTTTTACTTTTCCAGATAGATAGCCATATTAAACGACTGGATGAGGATCTAAACAACTTTGCAGAAGATCTGAAACAAGGTACACAGACTTAGAAGCTTGGATATCTCTGAGAAATGCAAGCCATTTTACAATGTTACGTTTGAAGGTTGATTTCTTTATTATCTGAAGAGTTGAAGGTGAGCAAATTATTGGTACACCTCAAAGTCATTTGTGATAATTTATCAAACAAACAAATATTACATTGTTGGATGCTTTTATGAATTGCTTACCTTTTCGGCTTTTCCTTCCATTCAGTTTGTCTGTTTAGATAATGCATGACCTCCTACTATTTTTCAGAGGGAAAAATTTCACCAGACGAACCAGCAATTCTTCCACCATTGCCACTAGTTTTGAAAAATGAAAAGCGCAAATCAATATATATGGTACCTCAATCTAAGAGGCTAGATTACAGGGACCGGGATTGGGATAGGGAGCGTGATCGAGATTTTGAGCTCATGCCTCCTCCAGGAAGCCATAAAAAGGACTTTGCACCTTCACTTGATGTAGATCAGCCCATTGATCCAAATGAACCTACGTATTGCATTTGTCATCAGGTTCTGATTTTGGATTCATGCATGCCTCTTTTTGAAAATTGAACTTATTTTATTAAACGATTCATTTATTTTGTTAGGGATTGGAAGACTATGGTTAGTTCGTGGGTATATGAGTTAGAGTTAGTTAAAAAAATCAGGGTCTAGTGGTAATGCATGAGAGAATGGTAGCCCTCGTGCAAAGCTTTCATCCTAGAGTTCCTATCTACATAATTACTGGGGGAAAGTGTAGAAAAATGGACTAAATTGAAAGTTTCAATCTCATGCAACCACTCCGCAAGAGATACAGTTTTATGGAAAAAAGTAGATTTTGCTATGTAAAAGGAAAAAGGTTTATTTCTGGTTTTATATATTTAATAGCATTGTGACCTTATTGGATGAAGAAATATAGCTGTTTTTGAGAATTTCAGTATAAAGTTGAGTGAGAAAGCAGGGGAGATAGATTGGTAATCCATATCAGAAAATATTACATTTTGGAAGTTGGAGGCCAAGTCTTGAGCTCAAGAATGAAATTGTAGAGAGGGATGGTTTTAGCTATAATGTACCTTGAGTGGTGCAAGAAATTACGGAGTGAAGAGATGGGAACAAAAAGGGCAAAGCAAAACAGAAAGAATTAGTTTCAAAGATCAATAAGAGAGAGGAAAGACCGAAGCTATAGGGTTTTTGTCATCTTCCTCCTTCGCTTGGTGTTTGATGGAGATAATACAATGGAACACCAAATTCGATCTACACAATGTGATACCTTTGATTGGGTAGTGCTAGTTATGAGTATGAATTAGTTAGTGCATATATGAGATATTTAGAGTTGGTTAGATGAATTTTATGTAGTAAGTGGTTATAAATAAGGAGGGAGATGTGAGGGAGAAAAAAGATTTGGATTTTGTGTCGGAGACAAGGCTACGATCTGTGAAATCCCACATCGGTTGGAGAGGGGAATGAAACATTCCTTACAAGGGTGTGGAAACCTCTTCCTAACAGATGCGTTTTAAAAATCGTGAGGCTGACGGTGATACATAACGGGTCAAAGCGGACAATATTTGCTAATGATGGACTTTGTCTGTTACATATGGTATAGAGCCAGACACCAGGCATTGTGCTAACGAGGACACTGGCCCCAAGGGGGGGTGGATTGTGAGATCCCACATCGGTTAGAGAAGGAACAAAGCATTCCTCATAAGGGTGTGAAAACTTCTCCCTATAGTCGACGCGTTTTAAAACTGTGAGATTGACGGTGATATGTAATGGGCCAAAGCAGATAAATTTGTGTAATTTCTATAACTTAGATGGCTGGGTACTGATATATTTACGGGCACCACAATTATCTGTCTTTGTAGGTGTCATTTGGAGATATGATTGCCTGTGACAACGAAAATGTAAGTCCTCTCTGGTATTATTGTGTTGTTCACTTCCTACCAATATTTTAAAAAATAGTTTTTAAACTTATTTTTGTAGACTAAGAAATCAAATATTCTTTAAGAAAGTTCAACAAAAAAAACTAAAAACTAAACCGATATCAAATGAGATCTTAATGGTTACTTTTATGCCATTGACAGTGTCAAGGAGGTGAATGGTTTCATTATTCCTGCGTTGGACTAACTCCAGAAACAAGATTTAAAGGAAAGTGGTATTGTCCAACCTGCAAAGTATTACCACAATGTCAATAACGAAGGTGCACAGGCAAAAATTTCAGAGGTCAGTTGGGGAAAATTCAAGCGGTACGCTTCTAATATAAACCAACCGATGTTGTTCATATTATCATCAGGTAAATTCAAGTTATATTAAGTGAAGTCAAGTTTGATTGAAGTTGAATTTAAGTTGTAATTAATGCTACAATTAAGAAGTATCGAGCTTCATTTATGTTGCTGATACTTTAAGTAAGAGCTTCATTTGTTTTTAAGATGGTTACAAATGTACGTTGAATGATTGAAATTTAGATGTATGGTATTTGATCGGTGTATTTTATTAAGTTTTAAGATTTTTGTATTACTTACATGATGACTAATTATTGTCATAAAATAAGAAGGTTAAACTCTTGATTGTAGCATTGCTGTAGCTGTCAATCAGATTTTGCATGTGATTACGACGTCTTTTCCATTGCCAGTTCTTCTAATGCCCAGTT